CAGCACAAACATGTTAATATGGTCCAGAAAAAAGAAGGCGGCACTATTAGAAATTAATGTATGATTTTTTTTATTATTATTTATTTATCATGGAATGAGTGGATGGAATAAAACTTTTTGTTGATGATTATTTAGTGATCTACCGACTTCAATATGCATGGTTGTGGCTGTAAGTTTTCCTCAATTTTTATTTTTTATTTTTTTACATAAAGACACATCACCAAAGAAATTGAAAATAATATATAGCTTGAAATTAAAGTATTCACCTTTTTTTATTTTTTTTATTTCAGTAAATAACCATTAAAGTAATCACAATTGGTTGTTGGCTGCTCTCTAAGATTGAAAAGGGAAAGAAACGATTGAAATACTTTGATAATTTCTAAATACATTATTACAAGAAAAATATGGAGATAGAGATCGAGATCTTACTAAAATATTGAGAGAATAAGGATTGTCCTTCATCATTTCCGACATTAAAAATGTGGATAAATAAATCATAATCCCAAACCAAATAGAGTAAATATTCCACAAACACAACTAGCAATTCATATTTTCCACAAGGTGAAACAAGCCATATATCCATAAAAGATGGATGCAGTAGTACTCCATCAAATCCATTTTATACACATATAGTATGATCATAATTAATTACTATATATATATATATAGAGAGAGAGAGAGAGAGAGAGAGAGAGAGAGAGAGAGAGAGAGAGAGAGAGAGCAAATTAATTGATAAAATAATCATGATTTAGGTGAGAGAAGTAACGTTTTTATTAGCCGGCATGGAGTTGGAGCGCTTAAGCCATGCATTTGAGGAGGAGCGATGAAACCTGCAGCGGAATGAACCCTGATGCGTAGTGGGCGAACACAAGCATTGTCCTACCACTGCTTTTGCCGAGTTCACCTCTCCTACTACTGCTTTTGCAGAGTTCACCTCTCCTCCGTTGCCGCAGCTCTTCGGCGATGTGCTAACGGTGATGCTACCATGGGAGGCGGCCATCTTAATAATTAATGGTATTGGTATGTACTTGCAAGAGACAGACACGGAGCTAGGGGTTCCCAACAGGAAAATTTATATATACATATATATACACACACATTCACACAGTTTGGGATTTTATCTTCATATGAAGTATGAGGTCAGGACTGAGAAAGCAATTAAGTGGTGCAGTTTTGATTGCCGTTTTTTTTTGGCTATATGTATCATATAGTGGAAGCAAAGGAAATTAAGACATTCCAATCGTTGTCAATAAACCCAATATGTATAAAATTGTTGTGTTGATATATATACTACAATAATTGTGTGTATGTATAATAAATATATGATGAACCAAGTAGAAGCACATGGTGTGGAGACACTGTGGGTTGCTGCTGTATGGAGGAGAGAGGGTTTTTGGTGTGGCATAATGTACACGTATCAGATTCTCTATTTATTCTAATAACCCAAATGAAAGACTATTCTTTTTCGTACATTCACAGATCTTCAACCACTACCTTCCACGTGAACCAACTTTTGCATACATTATTCTACCAACAGATTTAGATTTGATTGTATTTACTCCTCTCTTCTTACGAGGTCGATGGATCCCTTTCTTTTGTTCCAACAAGAATTTGAATCTTACCAACTTTACGAGAGTTTGAATCTTTTTCTTAGGCCTCAACAAGAATTTAAACTTTCAATTCAATTTTAAAAAATAAAATAAAAAATTTGAATATTAGATCTTCTACTTTAGAAGATAAATCAAACAAATTTGAGATTTTGAGTAGTAGTTGATCTTGGAATGCGATATACCATTTGTGACACTTTCCCAATTCGACTGCTTCTTTGCCCACTTCGTCTTATTCCGAAGAGACCAAAATGGGCCTAAAGTCCAGATCCGCTCTCGAAACGGATGGGAAGACCTACAACCCCAACAACAATAATATATAGATAGACAATACGAAAACGCTTGCATTTTTATTTTTATTTTTATTTTTATTTGTTTTCAAGATACAGAAATGCTTGTATGACAAATTGACAAGGCGTGTAAATAATAAATATATCATTTACATATTCATGGCGGCAAATAAATTGGACCAACTCTACCTGGCTCAACTTGTGCTGGTGAAACGTAATATTAAACATTTTTATTATATTTTATTGCTATTTTTATTTTCTTTATAGCAGAAAATATTCTAAGGATGATGATAATTATATTTGTAAGTAATAAATTAGCGTGCAATCTTTTAAAGTTGTAGAAAGAAAAAATATCTATTAGGCACGCGTTTACAAATCAAATGAGTCTTTGACAAACAGAATATACCTATATAGCACTCTATTAATACTGTTTGCAATAAATAAATGCATATATATGTATTTTTATTTTTTTATAACAGCGAATCAATTGACTTGCTGACCACCTAAAAAAAAAAAAAAAAAAAAAAGGGTCCAATGATTTGCAAATTCCGTATACATAATTCATATATTATTTCTTGTAATTTTTGTAACCACAATTATACTATGATCACATGTGTGTGTTACGTGTATATTACAATGATTGATTGATTCAACATATTACTACTATGTTGGGTTGGTTATATAATTTATATTATATATAATTGAAACCTACGCTTCCTATCTTGGAAGCTTCAATAATTCAAGCCTACCACATATAGTTTGTAGAACATGAAACTTTGGGTTAGACAAATGATGCCCTCTAATAGAGTTTGGGTTAATTAGCAATGTCAAGTATCCAAATATATATTATATAATATTATCACTTACATTGAATGAAAAGCCAAGGTTCCTTGAATTGAACAAGAAGTGAGAAATAATGACACGCAAAGAAATGTACCATCACGAAGCAAAGAAATTATCTTTCATTAATTTGTCTCCACTTACCAATTTATTATTTTAATTATTTCATAACAAGTAACATTCACATCATATATATGGAATTGTGTATATATAGCTTGTTCATTCGGCATTATATTATTTTTTTGATATTTAAATTTGGATATTTTATTTAGGATAGTTGAGATTGGTTTGAAATTGTGATAACCTTGTGGGTGGGTGCATGAGTGGGTGGGTGTGTGAGCGTGTGCAGGTGATACCAGTAAATAAATACAGTTATAGATGCACAATTTCACATTGTCTGGATGTGAATGGGACAAGTATTATATGTAAATTCAACATTCTTCTATTACACGTGTTTTAAAGTCGTAATAATCGTAAACTCACTAGAACTCCATAATTAAGTATGCTTAACTTAGAGTAGTATTAGGATGAGTGACCCCCTACGAAATCTATGATTTGGGGAGCCAAAAGCGGACAATATTCTGTCTGGATAGGGTGAGGGTCGTTACAAATGATATCAAATCCTAATCCAACTCTTGCACCATGAAGCAATGATTATCTTTCATTGATTTGTCTCCATTTACCAATTTATTATTATAATTATTGCATAACAAGTGACATTCACAGTATATACATGGAGCATATAGCCTTATTTGGCATTATATTATTATTCTGATATTGATATTTAAACTTGAACCATATTATATTTGAGACGATTGATATTAGTTTGAAATTGTGGTAATCTTGTGTACGAGTGTCTGTAAGCTTGTGCAAGTGGCACCAGTAAACTACCACACTGGACGATCTACAGATACACAATCCCACATCGTCTGAGTGTGGATGGGGTAAGTGTTATATATAGATTAAACGCTTTTCTATGACACAATGCATTTTAAAACTGTGATGGTTATAAACCCAACGAACTCCATAGTTAAGTGTGCTTAATTTGGAGTAGTACCAGAATAGGTGATCCTCAGGAAAGTCTTTGGTCTGGGAGAGCCAAAAGCGGACAATTATGTCTGGATAGGATAAGGTTAGGCTACCACACTAGGTGAGCTACAGGTGCACAATCCCACATTGCCTGGGTGTGGATGGAGCACCAGGATGGGTGACCCTCTGGTCTAGAGGAGTCAAAAACAAACAATATTGTGTTTGGATAGGGTGAAGGTTGTTACAGAAATAGTTCATAACATATATTTGGCCCAAACCCATATCACCAAATTGGAAATATTGTGTGTTTTGGTATTGTAGCGGACGAACTAAAACAATTTTTTGAAATTTTCAAACTAAATTTTCGTTACCAAACATGATTTCGATTTCTACCCAAAACATTCTTATAACAAGACAACGCCTAAATCACATCGCATGCCAAACAGGCTTGTACATATGGTGGTTTTGAATTGGATTTATAATGAAGGCTTTGTGGCCGTATCTCCTCTCTACTTCTTAAAGTGAATAGTAAGAGTTTGAATATCTAAAGGAACAAATTGAACATCTGTGAGAGAGGTAAAAAAAAATAATAATAAAATAAAATAAAATCTATAAATAAGAAAATTAATTGATAAGTGAAGACAAGTTTAAAATTTTAAAGTATAAGAGTAATCAATTTGTAACAAAGTTGGATCTCCCTCACTCTTATCCTCCCATCAGTGTTATCGATCACAATAATAATAATGGTTGTTCAACTAAACCAACAGTTATATTTGGTGAGATAAAATACTGAAGTCTAAGGTGTTTTTTATTAATTTTTTTTTTTTTATCCTTCAATAAACAATATAGAGTAATGAGTTTTTTCAAAAAATAAAAAATAGAAAAATAAGATCCACTATGCCTTACCTAGATTTTTTTCTGTCTGATTTATCTAGTTTGTCATAAGATGGGGTTGCATTATCTGGATAAGAAGTCCAATTACCTATCTAACAATATCCCGTGGTTTTTGAAGGTATGATAATGTGGGACCAAGTGTAATGTGGGTCCAATCATGGTCCCTTTTTATTTTGTGACACGTCAAGATTAGGAGGGATGAACTGAGAATCTTGTTTTAGATTTATAGGCCTTCTTTAATACGATGGGATGAGCCGTGCCGTTAGATCTTAGCCTAATCATATATATATAATATATATATATATGTTATAAAACAAACTTACCAGTCAACTAAAGGAAAAGAAAACCTAACATTCTCTCACTATCCTCCTTTCTTTAACTTCCCATGAATCACTCTTCACAGCATTTCTTTTCAAACCAAACAGCTCATCTCTTTCCTGTTTTTTGCTCTCTCTACAAACGCTTCTCTCTCTCGAATTCTCTCTTTTGAATTGATCAAATCGAATTGAATGGCGAGGACAGGCAACAAGAACATACAAGCCAAACTGGTGGGTACGTCTTCCCCTTTTCAATCATTCGCTTTTATCATCAACTTTCAATTCGTATCCTTTTTTGCATTAGGGTTTTTAAATTTTTTTTTTTTTTTCCGAATTAACATCAAACCGCTGAATCAATCGGTAATCCATTTATAGATTATGTATGTTCATATGACTGATTTTAATGGGCGTATGATTGTTGTAGCTTACCAGCTATTTTGAATTGTTAACAATATACTGGTTACCAATGTGTGTGTGTGTGTTTGCTTTAACTTTTGGGAAAAGAAAACAATATACTAGTTTGACAAAACATAGATAGTAACTACTGTAAGGTCTCGCAAGTAAATAGAATTTTAGTAGTATTGATTAGATGTCACTTCAACTATACATACTGCAGAGTGAATGTGCTGTTTTAATTGTATATATATGAGAATGTGTGTTTGTGTGTGTTATAAATATCAATTTATGCCGATCAGAATAATTGGCCTAGGGTTGTGATTACATGTTCTTTAGTGACTGAAAGAGTATATGGATATCCTGCTCAGAGCTCATGGTTTTTAAGTAGTGGAAATTTTTTTTAAACTTCTACTGAGAGAAGAAAAGAGATGGGCAGAACTGATTCCCTCGCAGAGAATTAAGAAAAGGAAACAGTACATTAAAGCTGTTTGAAGCCACAAAAAAGTTACTTTTTGAATTGCATTGAATTTTTAATTTCCTTTTACTCCACTCTTTGTCAAACCAGTCAAGGTTACTCCTACATTTTATGCTTATCGCCCATTTAAGTTCAAATTTTGGGGAATTAAATTCCGATTTTAGGTGTTTAATCCTTTGAGGAAAAGAATTTTTTGGAGAACCAGCTACCGACTTGTTGATTTTCCTTTTCTTAATTAGAATATAATTATGTTTGCTTTCCATAACCTGAAATTTAATGAATGTTATGAAATTTGACCTTCCATTAAATAAAAGGGTAAAGTGCAAAAAAAAAAAAACCCTAAACTATGTCCAAATTTGCAAATAACCCCCTTGAAGTATATTTTGTGTACAATACCCCATCAACTATCACATTTTGTTGCAAAATGCCCCCATGCCTAGGCTATATTTCATTAAATGAAATGGTGTTTTGAACTCAGGATTTCATTACTTCAGACCAACAGATCCAAAATCCACTACAATGAACCTTAGAAAACTATTTGGCCCTGCAACACTGAACATAAGACTTAAGTTTTTAGTTTTTTCATTCTCCTCAAATTTCTCAGCAACGTTATGGAAGATTATGTTCATTCCTCCAAACAATTCTTTGGCAGAGATTGTTACAAAATTCTACCTTACTTTCTAATGACTGATGGAAATAGTACTTGGATTTCTAACATACTCTAGTATTTCCCAGGTACTTCTTGGGGACATGGGAACTGGAAAAACCAGTTTAGTATTAAGATTTGTCAAAGGCCAATTTTACGAATACCAGGTTCACTTTCATAACTGTTTCATCTATTTTTCTTCTTCTTTTTATTTTCTTATTTTTTTTTTTAATTCACGTTTTCATAGCCGACCCTTGACATGAGTATAAGCTGCAGGAATCTACAATTGGAGCAGCCTTCTTCACTCAGGTTTTATCATTAAATGATGCTACTATAAAATTTGATATATGGGACACAGCAGGACAAGAACGGTACCATAGCTTAGCTCCAATGTACTATCGTGGTGCAGCAGCTGCTGTTGTTGTCTATGACATCTCAAGCATGGTAGTTATATTTCGAGCTTCCAATAGTAATGTTATTTGGTGGTTTAATGTTAATATTCATCTAAGATGGATGTCATTGATTAACTGACATCTCTGTTAATGTATGAGCTTTTTCCTGCACAATGAGGCTAGTCTTATGTATAATGATGTGTTCAGAGTCCATTGATTACGCCATGGTAAATTATCATAATGAGCCTTGTCTGGAAGAGGAAAAGTGTGTTTTTTGTCTGACAAAATGATCATGATTCAATTAGTTAGACTTGCTTTGTGTGTGTATATTGCATCTGTTTACATCCCATGCGTCTTTGAATAATTCAATCCATGTTATTTCTTGAATGCGATTGGATGACCCATCTGGTTGGGCCATATGATGATGAGTGGAATTGTATTATGTTTTGGTTAATCTATGTGCTAAATGTCCTTTAATGGCATGTTAATACTAATCTTTATTTTCATCCATTAAGAAAAAAATGGCTTCTCATGAAAAGTTTCATTTATATTTTAAATAATTAGTAATTTCATGATTGTATTTTATACATTACTGACTGGGAATCCCAATTGACAAGTAAAGAAAATGGTGTTTTTATTTTTCAGGAGTCATTTCAACGAGCCAAAAAGTGGGTTCTAGAACTGCAAAGACAAGGTGTTATACTTAAATCTGTAACACTACTAACACAGGCTCTAATTTTCTCTCTTCAGTTGATATTTGAAGCTAATCTCGTTTCAGTGGCTTCTATGGCCTGGAAAGTGATGTTCTTATCATGATTAAGTTATTTCTTCTGAATGTGTTCTCTCTTTTTGACCTTTTAGGCTTTTAATGCATTACTATTTGAAGTTTATAATATATGATTTCATATTTTCAGAAGTTGGCCTTCATATTTTCCAGTAGAGCCTAATTTCCACTAAACCAGCATTTGTTCTCCATTACATACTCCATTTACATTATGTTGTCCAATCTGGCCTAATTAAAGTGTTGACCAAAATGATCTGCTTTCAGTAGAAGTTTAAAGTATGAAATTTTATACCACGTGTTTTTTATTTTATTTATTTTATTATTATTATTCTTTCTCCTTTGTTTTTCTTTTTACTTATAAACCTCCCCTCCCTCCCTTCCAAGGGCCTGGGGGAGGGGGCGTTTGGGGGAATTGATTACTTAATTGCATTTAGGATATATTAGAGTGGTGGAACATTGACCCAATTTTATTTTTCAAGTTTTTTGGGTGAGAAAACTATAAATTAAGTTTTTTAGGTGAGAAAACTATAAATAGTATATCTTATTTATGTTGAACTGATTTAGAAGGAAACTTTCAAACATATTTCCTAATTCAAGCTTTATTCTGAAAGAAGATGTCTCATAACTAATGGAAAAGTATGAATAAAACAAGGTGAAGGATAAGTCAATTCACAAATTCAATGGAACAAACAAATACATAAGCATTCACTAGGAAATCACGTCAACTTATGGTCAAAGGACCGATTGATGTAACCTGGTGGACAATCTGAAGGGAAAATCTGAAGTTACAAGTATCTGTAGACTCGATGAATAGTCTTAGATTAGGCTGAAAACTAGCAACTCTGTTTTAGGGCAGAGTTGTGCCAATTCCAGCGATGTCTGCTCAATTTACTCTAGCTATGGGTTTAATATTGATCCTAAAAGAATATAAAAATAAATAATCTAATCTCTCAAAATCTGGAATTTATTCTATATAGCATACAGAGTAACATATTTAGTTATGTGAGCTCCTAACCTTACTTGCATTGTTGAATACAATATTAAGTCAATAACTAAGAGTTTACTGATTATTTAAGAAAATTTGGAGCTTATCCAACATCTTATTTAATTTCATCTCATGCTGTTGTAGGAAATCCAAACTTGGTAATGGTTTTGGTGGCAAACAAGGTTGACTTGGAGATGAAAAGAAAGGTGGAGAGCGAGGTAATTTAAACTAAATATTTTTCTTCTTGTTATCTTCAAGTTCCATTCAATTATTATCCACAGTTGATATTAGTTAGTCAAAGGCACTTTTATGAACAAAATGCTTTATGTGGTTTTCTCTTTTAAGGGTAAATTGTTTTCTTGAAACTTTCGCTTGCATTTAAATGAATTAGTCTTTTAAATCTCCAGCCAGATGTGGAACTTTGACTCGGTAATTCCTCTCAATGATACTCGTATGCTCTAATTTTGTAATTAGATTAATTAGATTGGGTGGAAATGTCTCTTAAAACACAGTTAAAACTTTTATCCTTCTGCACTTTTATGTGAGTTCTTTGAAGTTACTTAAGACAAGTTCTCTTGTTATTTTAATTACTGATGCAGGAAGGGGAGCAATATGCTAAAGAAAATGGCTTGCTTTTCTTTGAAACTTCTGCAAAAACTGCACAGAACGTAAACGAACTCTTTTATGAAATAGGTAACTATATAACTTATCTTTTTGGACTGAAGGCAGTGATCCCATGTGGTGGATTGCCAGTAATCTTCGTCTGATTCAAATCGGCGATAGTGACTGGTGATGTTCACAATCTCATAATGATCCCAAAAGAAAGGAAAAGAAATACATTTTTTTGTATGCTTTCAAATTAAGACATTAATAAGTGATTAGTAAACAATTCCTTGTAATGGATAATTGTGGTCCATTAGTAATGTTCCTTTTTTTATTTCTCTTCGGAAAGTTTAGTAGTATTGTTCCTTTGTATCTCTGTTTTCTGGTTGATGTGGTCATTATCTTCTAATAAGGTAACGATTACCTGCCAATAGGGTGGGATATTCGGTTTTCATCTGTAACTTCCTTTAGTTTACTTATTAAAACAAGTCTATTTCAGCAAAAAGATTGGTGAAAGCGGCCCCTTCACGGCCGACTGGAATGAAGCTGCACAGCATGTCACAACAAAGGGGAAGAAGACTATTTTGTTGCTCTATATGATACCCAAACTCGGTCAACAATTTAATTGTAAGTAACTTTTTGAATGCGTCACATTACTGAATTGGATATATTTCCAAATTGATTACACCCAATTTTTCTTAATCACTTCCAAAACACCTTTTGGTTCCTTAAAAATTACGCAAAACTTCTAAAAAAAAATTACTCTTCCTTCTATCCAAATGGTATGCAAATTTTTGTGCTCGACTAGCTTGCTTCTGCTCTTAATAGTTTCAAATTTGAGTAAATTTTTCTCAATTTGTTTGTTCTGCCATTCGTTTTTAATTTCAGGTATCCTCCTATTATTTGCGACGATGTGGGTGTATGAGATGGGAATTCATGATGGGCCAAATCAAAGTTGAAGATTCCACGAGTCACATTTCACAGAGATTTGTATGTCTATGGTGTGTTTTGCAAAATCTGGTGACATGTGATGAAATGACTTGCATGCTGATTTGTGCACAAGAATTGTTATTAAACTCTAAATGAATGAAGCTGCTGCAATAATGTCGTACATAAAAAATATGGCTTGCATCAGCCGAGAATTGATATTTATAAACCAAGGACAGAACCATTTCAAATTCAGGTATTTAGAAGCGAACACCAAAAACGTACTTTCAGTAGTAATGGAGAAATCAGTTTCCTAAGCAACTAACTCAATTAAAAATGACTTCAAAACACGTTTTAATTGTTTAAAAATGACTTCAAAAAGTTAAATGTAGTAGGCTATACAGAAAAAGGTAGACATAATTCATGTGGTATCAATGCAAGGTGAACCGCATTCATGTGGGATCAAGGCAAGAACGACGGGCGTAGACATCATTCATGTGGGATCAAGGCAAGAAATGTGGAATCAAGGCAAGAACGACGATAATAGTAATTTGATACATTATTAGAAATAATTTCTCTTCTGCAATAGGATTGAAACCTTCTGTCATACGAAGGCAAGGAGAAAGCCAGGTAAATTAGGTAATCTATACATCTTGGTTGATCTTTTCTTTTTTCTAGACACTAGTTTGATTTTCTTTCCTTCTAAAATATTCTCTCACCAGGAGAGAAATGATCAAGAAACCATCATTTAAGAGAGGAAGTATAAAGACAAAGGTTTTGTTTGAACGGCGAAATGGAAATGGAAGCAGAAAAATAAATGTTTTTCTTTTCTTTTTCTTTGCCAGAAATGATATGGAGGGCCCTGAAGAAGAGGGAAGTTTCTCCTCTTTTCCTCTTCCTTTTCTTCTGCTAGAGTGAGAACTCTCTCCGTCTCCAAGGAATGGTCAGCGCTAAGGCTGTTTGGCTCCCACCAAGATGGTTCAAATTTTGGTCAATTAATGGAAGTCCATTGCTTCTGAGATTAGGCACACCCTATTTTTATCTAGACTACAAACTCGAAATTAACAGTGAAAACCAATCAACCCATGAAACCACTCTTTTGCTTTTCGATGAAGCACGATACTTGCAAAAATTTCAATCATTGCAAAACAAAACCTACCACTCTAATCTTCTCCATTAAGGGTAGTTAGCTATACCCTAATATATATATATATATATATGTGGACAACTTCGGTTAGCATGGGTGCGGCTTTGGTTGACAGCAACAGTCAACCTTGAGGACATAGTTCTAAAGAGTCGTACAATTTTTCATGCAAGGGTATTACTATATGTTAAATGCAACTGGAAAGGTGTTGTGACAAACGGTATTAAAACTAATAACAGTAATCAATATCACTGAATTAAAAGAAATTCATCATTAGTCATGGTCTGATATAGTAGCAGTGTTGTTACAATTTTACAACCAAATAGTCGACACAACGAAAAATCAGACTAACAACATATTGTCTAAAGAGGCTAATCAACCTCTTTGCCTACTCCACGACAGACACTACGAGAGCCACTCAATAAATGGATGCAAATATAATAATAATTTTGATAGGTTGTGCACATATAAAAAGAAAATACTTCAAAGTTCCACTTGCTCTTACCCTTTACCGACCTCGCAGGGCTGCAAAGCGGGCAGCCAAATCATCATAGTCCGGTAACTTAGGATGCACATGCCGTGCCTGGTTATCTGGTTGAAAGGAATTGGCACGAGCAAAAGCCTTATTCACCTCTGTTGGAGCAGCAGTTTGCTTGCGAGGGAGAGAAACTGATCTGGTGTGATGAGGAACCATTTCTGTCTCTGCACCAGGCCAATCTTGGCTTCTATTTTGCAGGGAGTCACCAGCATAAGCGGTTGTATGGTCTGAGGGAGGAGCTTTTGACTTTTTTCTCACCATTCCCGGTTCGTAGTTTGATGGTTTCTTGCTGTAATGTAACAACAACTTATCTATCATCCTTTCCTCTTCATCTTGCTGTAAGCCCCTCCTCGAATTTTCTCTTCTTCTGCTACCTGAACTTCTCTTTACAACTCCAGCGTCTTCAAAATTGCCAAGATCTCCTTGACTGGTTGATTTTGGGTGTTTCCTCCTGACTGATCTTGGTTTTGGTAAGGGCATATCATATTGAAAATGATGATCTTTCTCATAACCATTACGATCTATCCTCACAGGTCCAAAGACCTGCCCCTCATGTTTGGGACATTCTGATTCTACCTGGCTCCTTTCTGCATTCGCTCCGTTATGGCTTGAAGGGTCAATGGAGGTTCCATCACAGTCAGAATCTGAATTTTTAGACCCTGCACTGGCCTCGTATTTGCCATCTCTTAGCTTAACATATGGAGGAGGGATTACTTTATCTTTTGATTTAACATATGGCGGGGGTAGAGCATTACTGTAGAGGGACTTTGGCCCATCTATTTCTTCCTTTTGAGTGCTGCTCTCTGAACTCACAATATTATGTTGCTCCCTATGGTGATAACTGGCAGATGAGACATCTTTAACCTCACTCTTAGAACAGACAGCAGCTTCCAGTTTTCCATGAGAGAGAAGTTCCTGACCGTCTTTTCCAGAGGCAATATTTATCCAATCATTCTGCAGCTTGTGTCCATCATCAACATATTCTGCCTTTATTCCGCACGATGGACTCATTGATCTAACTGTTTTTAGTGCAGTTTCCTTCACATTCAACTTTTCATGCTTATCAGCATTGAATTCTCGTCTTGCGTGGATTGGAATGTCACGTTTGTCTCTTCTTGGGATAGTATTTCCCCTGCTGGCGTGTGGCCTGTACTCATTATTGGTGAATTCCTGTCTTCCCAAACAATGAAGGTCTAACTGGTCTCGCAAGACATTGCCCTCCAAGCCATTGCGTATCTTGTGCCTATCATTAACAAGCTCAACTTTTTCTTTAGATGAAATACCAGGTTTATGTGTTCTTGGGACACTGTCATTGCCATTGGGCAATTTGTATTTATCATCAGTGACATGGAGAGGCCCGTATTTCCAAGGTTGGTCCTACAAAATATTCAAAATAGATGCAGAACAGTTTCATATTGCCTCAGATCTTAATGGTACCCTCCTGTGAAATTTTTTTTAAGACAAAAAATGGTTGCAGTGAAAATTTTAAAAACTGCTTTTGTGGGTAAAATGATGTCTTGAATTATTATTGTGTCTTATTGCCCGTCTTCTCTATCTGATCAGTCGTCAAATTAAAAAATACAGAGGGCATACCTGCGTAAATGCAGGGGGAGTAGCCATCCTCTGTTCAAAACCCCAGCAGTCCCACATGATTGAAAACTCCAATGCTATGTCTTGCAGTAGCTGCAGTTTCTCCTCCATTGTAGGTGGCTTTGAAGCTACTTTCTCAACAAACTTACATTAGCAATCAAGCCAGTTAGTTTGAGTAACATGACCATAAAATTACTAATGTCCTATTTAAAGTGGATCTACAGATAATCACCTTTTGATTCACAAAATATTCCAAAGAGTTTCCATATCTCTCTTGAAACATATCCCTGAGGTCACGTAGTTCAGGCAAATCAGAAAATCTTGCTGCAGCAAACATCAGGGACGATACAGCCTCCCTGCATTCTTTGGGACATTCCCTGTAAAGAAAACAATGAAAAGTTGTTTCAACAGCAATAGAATGGAGCACAAAGCAAAGTGTAACTAACTAAGAGTGCATTTAAGTGGGCATGCATAAAGAAGAGGATACGACCGTAATAGATCCCATTTCTGTCTTTCAATATTTTCCTTTTTGCCATCTAGCTAGTTTTCAGTGATAAAACAAAATATAAGCATATACATGTATACATGCACATTTACACTATTGACATATAATCTGGCAGCTAACGATAATAAATAAGGACAGCATGACATATGCAACAATTTGGAGGAAAATTTTATATTGCTGGTGGACGATGCCATAAACAGATCATTACACAGAGTTGGTCAAATCTAAGTGGGATGTTCAGAGGGTGGACCGGACAAAGAACTGATCTTTGATAGGAGTATTATTTTGCACAAAGTGGTTCCCTTCAGACTGAAAACTACATTCAGTTCTGGCAGCCTGAGCTTTTTGCATCAAGCAATGACCTTTTGATGTGATATGAAGCAAAACCAAATGCATTGTAATTATAACTGTCTAATTTGTCATACCCATACCTCTGTTTTTGCATGACTGAAAGCTGCTTCAATATGAATTCACAAGACCCCTCAATAAAATCATAACAGAACAAGAGGCACAGCCCAGCAATATATTCTTCAGTCTGTTTCACCTCCTTGCATAAAAAAGCACTTTTTAAGCCAAATTAAAGTATCGATAACATATGTAACATACATGAATTTTCATAGTTATGTAAATGTAAGAAGTGTGGATAAGCTGTCTCTTGGATGAAATGGAAGTTCTTAGAGAATAATAACTTGAGCATAAGCATAAAGTTGCCAATTATGAAACAGTAATTGCTTTTCAATCACGAGAAACATGAGTATGATGGGATTAAAGTTTGTCCAAGGTTGACTTTAGCTAATTCCAAACATTTATTATTATTATTATTATTATTATTATTTTTCCTCTAGTAGTAATTCCTAATATATATATATATATATATATTTGAAAAGCCAGAAAAGCTCGTAATCTTTTCTTTTGCTATATTTTCTCAGAAAACATATAGATATTGGGGACCTCAACAATCCAAGGTGCTTAATTTTGTTAAGCATAGTAATTTTTCTTCTAAGTATTCAAGGCTCTTTATTTTAGGTTTGATTCCTGCTGGACGATTGCAGTTTGATTTAGGAAGTCCCAGGTTAAAAATTCAAAATCCATTTTCATCCTAAAAAATAAATCAATCCAATGGATTTAAAACTTATTTTACGGTAAATGAGTTGCGAAAACAAATTCTGAATCAAATTAACATCAATCAAACCAACGGGTGCATAGAAAAATACTCCGTAATAAATACATAAATAAACAAAGTGAAAATGAAATTGAATTCGAAACAGAGCATGATAGAATTACCCTTCCGAAAGCATTTATATCGAGTCCATTAGCGAGCAGATCGGTAATATCTTTCTTCATAATCCTCTGCCGCGCGTCCTTATTCCTTCGACTCGCATCGATTCGCGTCCTTGTTTGCTTAATCAGTGCTTTACTGTATCGTAAAACAAAATTCAAGAATGTCATCCGCACAAGAGAAGACTGTATATATCTAAACATATACATACAGAGAGAGATGAAATCGATTCCGAAAACAACTCACCATTTACAGCTAAACCCTCGCCCTAATAGTCCGTCCAACATCTTCGATCTCTATTTCTGCAATCAACACAGTGAATTAATGATAATGCAAAGGACAAAAACAATACCTAAATTGCATATTTATCAGCAAATCCACCTCTAAGCCCACTCTAAATGTTACAGTATCGCTCACTCACTATATATATAGATATATATATATATATATATATATATATGCCTATATAGCGAGCTGTATAAGTAGTATATTTAGTATTAAAGGCTTTTTAATATGAACGGCGTCAAAACACTTCCGAGATGACATGTGGAGTCAAGGGATGACTTGTGTAAACTACGATTATGCCCTAACCTTTTAATTAAAAGGCGGCGGGATTGGATGCGGACGATGGTTGAAGTTTGTTGGGGTCCTTTCAAGCAATGAGGTAGGTGGAAGGTCCTGATTGGTCGGGAGTCTGGGACTTCGTTCTGTTAAGATAAACATGCTGGTCGGATAGTATGTGATGATTGCCAACAACCGTATGGACTTCAGAGCCGTTGGTCAGTGAAAAGTAAGCTTAAAAAGTAACGCCCGTTATAACGGTCTTATCCTTCTTTTCCATTTAAAAATTATTTACATGCATTTGGGTTTCCAAACATTACCCATTATTAACTTCCAAAAAATATTTATACATTATTTTTTTACTATTATGATTTTAAATACTCATTATGGAACTTATTAAGGTCGAATTTAAAAAGAAAACAGAAATGGAAATCATTGAACATTTATATATATATTTGTAAAATGATAAACATTATGAATGATTTTCAAGGTAATGTACTATAAATTATGTGGCATGTGAGTTGGCGGCAGCTTTGGGTAATCTAAAAGCAAATTTTTAGGAGAAAAAAAAAAAAAAGAAAGAGAAAGAAAGAAACTAATATTACAATTGATAAATATATATAGGCTTTTGGTTGATTAAGAAGTTTTAAGATAAATATTATGGAAAATGAAAAACTTCATTAATGATTTTCATGATAATAATGAATGATGTGACATGTGAGTTGCCAGCTAGGTGGAATAAAAAAACCAAAATTTTAAGAAAAAAACATAGGGAAAGAAAGAAACTACACAATATATGCTATTGATAAACATACGAAAAATGACTTAATTGACAATTATAAAATTCTCATACAAAATCGACTCATATAAAAATCTAAGAGTATCTTCAACAGTCTGTTAAATTATTGTGTATTTTACATAATTTTTTTACACAGCTAAATCAACATATTTCCTTTTTCCTCCATTTTTCTCATTCCATTAAAGAATTAACTCTATATTAAGTAGATTTATAAAAGTTATATGATCCTCGCATGACTATTGAGATATATATTTTTACACAAAAAGTATAAAATAATTGTTGGTGCTAAAAATAAATAATTCAAATTTTTTTGTGTAAATCAATCATGATATATCAGATTTACACAAAAATATATACACAACGGTTGGAGACGCTCTAATGTCACTATGCTAAAATTTCAACTCAAACATAGTTCTTTCTATAATGTGACTATCCTAAAATCATTTTAACTCAAACACAGTTCTTTCCATAATATAACTATCCTAAAATCCTTCTACTCAATCGCAATTCTTTTCACAATCTTATTATCCTAAAATTTCATCTCATACATTATTCTTTCCATCATTTATTTATTTATTTTTATATAGTTAGAATAGGAGTACATAAACAAACTCTTTTCATATATATATATATTTCATTTTCACAAACTGGGTTTCCATATATCTAAAAATTATTGGAATGCTTTTATAAGAATTTTATAAGAAATTAGTTTTGAATATTAACAAAAATAGATGATTGAAAATTTTAATTCTTATTTTATTAAGAGAAGTGATACTCACACCAAATACTTGTACTGAATTGCCTAACCGAATAATTTTTAATTGACTATTTATATCAAATACAACTAAGTAGAGGGTTTCATTTTCTTATTTATTATATAATTGACTAATTAAAAGAGTAGGTCTAACAATTCATTGCAACTATTCGGTTTAAGAATCATTTTCCTTTTATTAATTTGTTTGTATTTTTTTTATTGTAGTTATTGTTTTTTTAAATTTTCAATTGTTATTTTATTTAAAAGTTATTTTTATTTTTTTATTTTTGGTAAGTAAAGAGAGTTAATTTTATTAATTTATTTATAGACAGTTTTTGTTTTGAAAGACATTTTATATTTTAGTTTTCGATTACCTATTTTTACATGGCCGCTATGAAGTATCGATTTTGTATTTGTCGGGCCAAATAGTACTACTCTAAATATATATAAGCTTTTGATTGATTAACAACTTTTGGGATTATGTTTGCACAAATCTGATGGTGTAAATGTATATGTGTACATAGTGAGATGTAAGTGTCTAACCACATACAATGGTGTAATGCCACGATTAATATAAAAAAAAATCCCCTATATGTATACACAATTTTTTGTTAACCATGACGGATGCTTTGTTGAGATAATTAGAATCCTCATGGGATTCAATTAGGGTTTATGTTTGAAAGTTTGAGAGAGAAAAAGTTCAATCAGATGATTTAGAAAAAAAAAAAAAAAAAATGGTAACCGGATGATTTAGGAAAAAACTAAAAGAAGTAAATTGGATAGAAGAGAGAATAATGCTTTAATGAGGACTTTTTATGATTATGAGTTCTTTATGTTTGTTTAATCACAGGATTAAAACAATTTTTTGAGATGAGGAAAAAGTCAAATTATTCATTTATGGAATCTTTTAATTCATTGATTTGATAAGATTGTTTACATGAACCTTTTAATTTATTGGTTTGAAAAGGTAGTTTAGCCGTTAATTTTTTATTCTTTCTTTTAACATTAATTTGTTGTAGCAGAGCTTTTTAAGGCAAATTTTAAATATATGTAGAATCACCAAGTCACGTATGGATGAAGTATAATGTTTCTATGTTGAAATTTTTGGGTCATGCAATAGATAAAAAAAAATAACAAAAAAATAATAATAATAATTCCTACTACATGAATATATGGCAATCAATCAATCAATCATCATCACTGTGCACCCCATGTTATGGAGAATGTTTAGAAAATGTTCCTTCAATCGCGCGCTAAGTTGTTGATGGGTAAAGAAGGATTGAAAAATAAAACCTTAAAACAAGGCATGACTTTGTAGGATTGCCATATATGGTAAATCTTAAGCCTAGTAATTATTATATTATTTAATACCTCCACCTCAAACATATACATATACGTACACTTCCTTGTCAGCATGAATGTGACAGTCTATCTAAATTCTTCAATTGATACACACAACTTATCCTGGCAGGTCGAATAAAATAATATTAATTTATATATAGCGGCTCAATATTATATGCATTTTATAAGTGGCTCAATATTATATGCATTTTATAAGTGTGTCGATATATTTATATAGATACATCACCAAACCATACTTTTTTTAAAAATGGCGAGATTCAAATTGCTGTATGTACACCCTTAATGAACAAATGTTTACAAGTGAGTTTTTTCCCATATATATATATATATATTTATATATTGGGAAATGATATCCCCACTCTATTTTTATCTAATTACATTTCATTTATTTATTTATTTTAAAAAAAAAATAACAAAAAAGTCATTGAATTCATTATATTCCTTCACTTATTTTATAATATCAAAACTACCCTTTATACAAACTCTAACTTTTTTTTTTTTTTTAACCTTCTTTACTTCTTACCTTTTTTTTTTTTTTTTTTATAAGCAATTTTTTTTTTCTGTAATTTTTTTATGGTCCGGTCAAAAGAAATAATTTATTCAACAAAAATAAACTTTTTTTTTTTTTGGTTTTATCGAAAAAGATAATTTATTCAATTGAGATAAAAAAATAAATAAAATTTAACCTTTTTTTTTTTTTTTTTTATCTTCACAAAAGAGAAAATTTCTTCAATAAATATATTTTTTGGGATTTTTTTTTCCGATCAAAAGAGATAATTTTTTTAACAGTTACTTTTTTTAAAAAAATTTAGTCAGAAGAGGCAATTTATTCAACTTAAATTTATTTTTGATCTTGTAAAAAAATTTAAAAATTGTTCAATACTTTTTTTTTTTTTTTTAGTCTTGTCAAAAGAGACCTAAAATATTAAAGATAATGGGCAATTTGGGAACTAATTGTAACTCACAATTAGTTATAAGGTGAGAAAATTTGAAAGGACAATTGTGTTATTTAAAAAATTATTATTATTTATTTGTAAAGTTAGGGTTAGAATTATTATTTTATTTAAGATTAAAATTATTAATTTATTTAAAGTGCAATTGAAGAAAAATAGAGTGCTGCCTCCTTATATTTAAAATTTATGAAGATGGGAGAAGAAGGATTAGTGTACATATTAGATTCCATAATAGCTTCTGGATGAAAATTATTTAAAAGGAGTGTTAATTGTCGATATTCTGAATTTAATACAAAGACAACCCTTCCTAAATTTATCTACATCACAAAAATGGAATTCTGAATGGGACACATTACTAAACAATAATTAATTAATGATACCCCTGGAACCTTAATTTCAGAATAATTAAACCGATAACTGGACCGAATGTGATAAAGGGTCAATGAAATTAAGAACATGTCTATTACTTTATTCTAATTATTTTCTTCATTAATCCATGATAACGAAAGGTTTCTTTTAAATAATCTTTTGTCCTTTCCCTCACTAAATCAGCAAATCAAATGGAGTTTTAATGGTTCATTTATTTCTTATCTCGGATATACAAGCCAATTGATTTTCATTTTAACAAAACCAGATTAATTAATTGTGGTTTTTTCGGCAAGTGGATAGTCTTCATTCAAGTGCTAGTAAAGGTTTGTATATCTTAGTTATATCATGGGACAAGCGTTAAAAAAAAAAAAAAAAGAATGTCTAAAGTATATTATACATAACACTTTTACTCATTATTTAAAAAAGTATGTAAAAAATATTTTTAATCTTTTCATATTGTACTACTAATATCATAATATAAGGATATTATGTGCACATTACCTTATATATATTTTTCTTTTTTAAAACTTTTTTCTCTATATATATATTTCTAAAACTTCTTCTTCAAATTATATATATATATATATTGAAATTTTGAGAATTTGTAAAATAAGGATTTGAATTTTTCAAAATTTCATTTTACTGTTTCTACTATATGTTTTTTCTTTATTTAATTTTTTTTCTTACCAACATTGTTAAGCAAAAAAAAAAAAAAAAAAGGCAAAAAATCCCAACACCTGTGTAAAATAGTTTTAGGAGTTTAGAACAAATTTGTTTTCTTTAATTTGCACTTTATTTTTATTTTTTTATTTTATATATTCAGAAAATTTGTTGAAGTTGAACAAGACCCGGTGAATAATGTCTTTGGGATCCCAGTTGATGGAGCTGAAATTCCAATCATTGCAACGTTTCCAAATTTGCCCACATACCAATGAAGCGAGACCTAACATAAGTTTACCGTTAGACAGGTTTCCAAACCTCAATAAAGCGTTGCCATTGCCTAAACCATGGGATATATACTAAATCAAAATGGAGATGAAGAGGACTGAGTCGCCAAACCATATGGGATGTAGGACATGTGCAGGTGAGATGGTAAGTCGTTTCAGGTTCGAGGCCATATCTTTTGCAAGTATCATCAATAAAAATGACTCTGAATTTGAGGTTGGAAAGAGTAGAGATTCTGACATTAGATATACACTCCTATAGTTTAGTATGCGCATATAAATCTATAACATTTAAAAATATGTGTAAATTATTCCCAAATACTTGTTGACAGTTAATTTTGACCAATTTTTTTAATTAAATCCCAAAATATCCTGAATTTACACTTAAAAACTGAGATCAGTGTTTTTTTTTTTTTTCTTAAAGATGTTTTTGGTATTTCAGTTTTCAAATTAACAAAATTTCCTTATTTGTTCAATTTGAAAAAAAAAAAAAAAAAAAAAAAACTTTTTTTGAATTCAAATTGGTAGAATTTGAAAAAAAATTGGTTCGATTTTCTTAGTTATTTTTCTCAAATTACAGCAATTATAATTTCAAAACTCCAATTTTATGTAACCGAAATTAAGTTGAACTAATTGATAAAATTGGAGAAAAGTTTGGTTCAATTTTTTTTCCAAAAGTTAAATACTATAATTTCCAAATCTCAAACATTATGAATAGTAAAAGTTCTAATTACCTACAATGTAGGTGACTTAATACTTATAGTTCTTGAAGTTGCAACCAAGAAACGAAGATCGTGCATTGAACCTTAACGAATAGAGAGCCCTAACTTTTGCTATGCAACCAGAGCGAATTACAAAGATGAAACAAAGAATTGCAAGTATCATCACTAAAAATGCCTCTGAATTTGAGGTTGGAAAGATTAGTTATAGTTTAGTATGTGCATATAAAATCATAACATTTAAAAATATGTGCAAATTATCCTCAAATATTTGTTGACCATCAAGTTTGACCAATTTTTTTATTAAATCCCAAAATATCCTGAATTTACACTTAAAAACTGAAATCAGTTTTTTTTTTTTTTTTTTTTCGTCTTAAAGATATTTTTGGTATTTCAATTTTCAAATTGACAAAATTTCCTTATTTGTTCAATTTGAAAAATATGAAGAAAAAAAAACACAAAAAAACATTAGGTATGTTTAACTGCATGGAATTGGTAGAATTTGAAAGAAAAAAAATTGGTTCAATTTTCTTAGTTATTTTTCTCAAATTACAGCAATTTTAATTTTAAGGCTCCAATTTTATGCAACCGAACTTAAGTTGAACTAATTGGTAGAATTGGAGAAAAGTTTGGTTCAAAGTTACAAAAAGTTAAGTTGAACTAAAATTTTCTCTAATTTCATCGATTTCAATTTTAAGACTTCAATTGCATGCAGTCGTATTTGCAAATTTTGTATATGAACTTCTTTTTTATTTTTTTTAGTGCACTTTACCTATATTTTATGTGAGCAGATGTCAAAGCCATAGTAATTTAATCAATTTACACAATAGGATTTACAAATAGAGAAATCATAATAGTTCTCATGCCAAAATAAGACTCACAATCTGAAAATTTCACGACACATGCAGCACACGTGTTCTAGACTTCTAGTACAAAGCATCCAATGTCAACCACAAATGAATACATTTGTGGAATGTAAAATATTCGTCGGTTTCTCTGATGCGATTCCCTTAAATTAATGAAATTGATGACTTACCTATTTTAACATGTTCAGCACGTCTTCAACCAATTCTTATTGTTGGACCTACATACCAGTCTAGACGCTAAGTTTGATTTCTTTTTTAAATGGGCTTTGGAAGTTGCAACTTTTAAATAGTCATGAAGATTTATTATGTACAAAGGGCTGGGTTAAGATATGGGCTGGCCTGAACAGATCGGGCCTGCCATATCTACCGTTCTACATTCAGATCTACCAGTCCACATTCGCATGGGCCTGCCCCATCTACCATTCTACAAACCAGCTCTGTTCATTGTTCATACAATGACCAATTTATGTAGTGCAGGGGTTAGATGGATCTTGATTTTTACGTATTAAATGAAATATTTATTCATAATGTTACATGGGAAGGCCTCAAGAGTCTTTAAACAAATCTACATATTTCCAATTAACAGAAATTATTTTAATTTCTAAATTAATGTAACTTCTCACCTTTGTATATTTGATGACACAAACATCATCATGGGAGTTTCTGAAAACAAATCAAATTACACAATTCGTTAAGAATATTCAAAATCGGATACAAAATATACTCACCCAAAATCAATGGTTTAAGTATTACAAAGAAAAAAAAGGCCGGGTCCGCAAAAAATCACAACCACCCGTCAATGTTCATGATTCACACATGAATATGGACCATTAATTGGAGAGATTGATTGAGTTGATGAACCTTTGTGGTCATGTAGATCATGACTTGATGATCTCTCTCTCTCTCTCTCTCTATATATATATATATCTACCAAAAACATCTCAAGAAGTTGATGAGGAAATGAAACAAGTAATTCTCTTGATCAAGCAGTTCATGTCGAACCATTCTCTCTAAGACGACGTTTTGAGGAAGAAGGTCGCTGTAGTAGAGCAAGGTTGTGACTGAGGCAGCTGGATCACCCACCATAGCTGTCACAAGCCTCACCATTGACCGAAACATCAAAGGTGTTAGAGACTGCAATATACATATAACATTATCAACATTTTTTATAATTTCTTAATTCAAACACATAAAATAAAACACAGGTACCCCCACTAATAGTAAATAGTCACACATTCGTTTGATTTATATATAAAAAAAAAAACCATAAATCATAAAGAAAAGAAGGATAAATTGAGATATGATGAGTGCGAAACATACCATGGTTTTGGTGAGCAGATGCAGCTCTCAACAGTTGTATTGTTGGGGGTGAGAGAAAGAGAGACAGAGAGGCTGTGCTTCAACTCTAAAAGGGCCAATATGCAGCTGAAATTCAGACCTACCCGTCCATGCACATGTGTTACTGAGCTAAAGCAATACAGATGGATGTTGAGAGAGAATCCAGTATTTCTCAGACCACTGGGAATAGGTGGTCTTGACTAATGAAATTAAGACACTTGTTATGCCCCCAAATTAGTGTTTCAGTCAAATCAACTAATCAAGCTCTCCCAAGGATTAAGAGAAAATTGGATGCACAAAAGTGTAGAAATTTATTACAAACAAATCGTTGGTTGATGGTTTAGCAAAATGTACCGTGTGGGCGTTACGATATAAGTAGAGTGAAATTCTAAAGTATTGTATGAAGAGATGCAAGATTCTAAAAAATATTAGAGAATTTATAAATATGAATAGAAGAGTGTATAAAAGATTCTAAAAGTATTGAGAGTGTTATAAAATTGTGGATATTCAGTAAAAAAAAAAAAAAGTGAGCAAATAGAATGCTATAAATATGGTACATAGCTTTTACCTTTAAAAACCTAATATGCATACAGGATGTTATATGCACCATCATCTCCTAGTGCCTTTGATCTCGTCTTTCTCCCGCTTATCTTATTTTGTAGTATGTCTCTCGTCTAGGCAGTGAATCACCTAAAAGTTACACTATTTTTATCTGAATTATTACTCCACAAAAGTATGGCTATAGTGGATCACCCATGTTGTAAACAAATAACTATTTTCAACTCCATCACAACAATTCTTGCTATTGTCATTTCAAATTTTAGTCATGCAAAAAAATTTTAACATTATAATGTAAGTTTCACTTATCTATATAAATCTAATTAATATTTATTTTATATGTACATCATTATTTCTTCAGAAATTTGACTATAATTCTAATATGTGTCTAGTGCTCTCACCATGCAAAGAAGCAATCTACCATAGAACAACACTATAATGTAAAAATAATAAATTAAAAAAAATAAAAAAAAGCCAAAATAAATACTACTACATATAATTTTTTTTCCAAAGGTTAAATACTATAATTTCCAAATCACAAATATCCAGCTCAAAATCTAAAACATTATGAATAGTAAAAGTTCTAATTACCTACAATGTAGGTGACTTAATACTTATAGTTCTTGAAGTTGCAACCAAGAAATGAAGATCGTGCATTGAACCTTAACGAATAGAGAGCCCTAACTTTTGCTATGCAACCAGAGCGAATTACAAAGATGAAACAAAGAATTGCATACAAGTTAATTACAAAGCCAAAGCCCCAATTTTGTACTTTTTATGCGGTTTGGTTTTTTTTTTTTTTTCCTCCCCCAATTATCTGATATGTTAAGTAGGATGCTAAACGCGGGTGCACTTGCAAAGTAAAAAAGTGTTCAGTTTTTGCCATTTTACTTTTTCAAGTAGTAATAACTGACATAAGTTTTGAACACGTAAAATCACAAATCCAAGGATATTTCAAGGACGTAGACTGAAATTCAGCAACTTAAGGGTTGGTTTGAATACGTTTATGTTAAATTAGGGAACTTAAATTGAGGGTTGTGTTTTTATTCATCCCTTTTTCAGAAAGAAATAAGTCATAAAGCAAAGTTGAGGATAATTAACTTGGGTTTGGAGTCAAGGAATTGAACGATTTGAAACGCAATCCCATTTTAGCATTTGAAATAACCTGAAATTTAAGAGACTAAAATAGGAGAGATTCGAGTGAACTGCAAAATTCAAATAGTATCAAATCCCACATATTTATGTTGACCTTAAAACAGAAGCCACTAATAAAAAAGTCCATTGTCTGACATAGGAAAATAAATCAGTAAGAGCTAATTTTTCTTTCTAATACTGGTAGGTAAGATCTAATTTTCCTGATTACTTGTACCCTCAACCACCTGCCTGAAACTGCCAAAATCTGAAACCTATGTGGCACCATCTGGAGATTGAGCTAAATCCCAGTAGCCTTCTCTCATCTACTTCCTAGTCCCACAGGAACTAACGTATTTCAGAACAGATCGATTTTTTTGAAACCTTACTTTTAAACCCCTTCTGAGCCTTCTCGATACTAGAAAGTTAGAAACAACGAACATAACCTTCCATCTCAAACTCGATAGCTAACAAAACTGTTACATTGTTAAAAATTCTAAACCGAACCACTTTAAAGACTACAATGGTATTTTTGTCTGTCAGAAAACCCCAAGTAACATTAGGAGGTTTACCACGATCTTCAGTTCCATGCAAATTCCCATTAACACCTCTTCAAACAGAAGGACTCCACTTTGTTGTGTATTAATTCCTTCTATATGCATTCCATATGCAGTACATAGCAAAAGGTAGCTCATTCAAAAGTTCCATGAAAGAAATTTAAGGCTAACAATAATCCACTACAGACTGAAAGCTATTGGTTTTCTGGTTTATCTGTCTCTTCCTGTTCAGGATCTTCTTCTTCCTCCTCTTTCTTCTCTTCATCTTCTTCATCCTCTTCGGGAGGATCATATGGCAATGGGGGCGGTAATGGTGTTTTCATTGGACTAAACTGAGGGAATATATCAGGCCTGCGTCCAGGTTTGGGCCTTTCCCACTCCTGTTATGTAAAACAAAAGTAAAATATTTATCATACTAATTAAGAAAAAAAACAAAAATTAGAGTGACTCTCCTCATTATTATGATAATTTCGAATATGGGATTCTTCTCACTTAAGATGATCCCAGGATTATTTATTAGCAATTGCATTATTGACACATAATTGTACCACAAACGCTAAGTAGATCCCTTAGAAGATGATTGCATGTGAAAGTGCTAGCTACAAATATAAGCGAGAAATTCAATGGCATGGAACTAGAGTAACAGTTATATAATACCACAATCATAAGATAAAACTGGTCATGATAACAGCAGCGACAAGTCAGGACAACTGAATCCCCGTTTTAGATGCTTTTCCTAGTTTTCTATTGGCCTAGCCCAAAGTATGACTGCAAGCGGGGCTCAACTTGAGCACATAATGGACTCTAGGTGGCCCTGACCAGTTATTTGTAGTTCAAACCAGGCTTGGGTTGTAATATTAGAACCTGATCCTTACCTAGGATGATGCATTTGGCAACACAACTCGGACCAAAAACGACGCATTTGTCAAATATGAACCTTGTTTCTCTTTCCTTCAACAATAGATTTCATTTTTACCCATGATAAAAACTTGGGAACCATTTTGGGTATCTTGTATTCAACCCAAACTTGTGATGGTGAACAAACTGAGGTTGAGTTGTAGCAGGTTCTGCTGGATATCAGTTTAGATTGGGCCCAGCTAGAGACGACCCCTCTTGAGTTGAGCATGGGACACCTCCAGCCCCATCCGACTCAGCAGAAATAGGGTATGCTTTCCCGGAAGAGGTTCCAACCGCAACAAAAACTCTCATCTTCCCAATATTGAGAAGCAAGAAATGCTATTCAGCTTGACAGCTAACGGTGAAGAAATTCCCAAAAAGAATTCATGCAACTTTTGAACAATGAGCTTCCAAACCTTCCCTCACCATAAAATTAAAAAAAAAAAAAATTTAAAAAAAAATTAAAATTAAAAAAAAAGGACAATTCTTAAACAAATTTAGATCAACCATGGCCGTGAAATCTCAATAAGCATCACTGACTATCACGACCCAGCCCGCATTGTATAGATATTGTCCGCTTTACACACACTACTCTTGGTGCTCACGGTTTTTCTACAAAATGTGTGCATATGGTTAAAGGGTGTCCACACATATAAATGTCATCAAACCTTTCCCAGCGTACAACTTAAGCAGACAATATATGCATGGTGTGGGGTGAATCGAGACAGATGGTATCAGACCCAATCCCCAGCCGAAATGAGAGAGCATGCAAAAGCCCATGAGGGTCATGCCAGTGAAGCCGCTGGTCCCAAGAGGGGGTGATTGTGATGTCTCTCTTATATGTGTAACCACCCCTTAACCATGTAAACGTATTTTGAGGAAAACCGTGAGCATCGAGAGGACGGTGTGCAAAATGGACAATATCTATACGGGGCGGGTTTGTGACAGTGGGTGGTAATAAATGTCAATGTAAATGGAAGTTGTTCTCCACAAAAAAATAAAATAAACTTAAATCAGGTCCCTGGTCACCTTAAAGACACAAAGGGGCTTCAAACTAGCTAGTAAATTATATTACAATGTCATTTCTTAGGCAATTAGTTCTTGAGTATATTTTTCAATGCTCCCAGTGTATGCATCTATTTTCCTCTATCATCCAAAAGACACTCTAGAAAATTAGAATTCACATAATGGAATACAAGTACTATTCAATTCTCCTATTGGAATGTGGCAGCAATAACAGTTACAAGCTTGCAGCAGATGAGGCAATATTTAAGTGGCATTAAGTAAATTCAAAAGGTGGTGGTAGTACTGCTAGTAATATTGACCAGATGAAATTAATAGAAAAGAGAAGGAATTGTTGAGAGAAATATCAAGGAGCCTTAAACTAAAAAAGATTCTCCACAAAGAACCACCATGGCCCCCCATTTATAAAAACATTGCACTCAATTTCCGGTGGGATGGAGATATTTTGGAAGGAAGTGTGTGAGCACAGGGGAATGTCTAAAGCGCCTTGGCTTTAAAGGGAGGGATGACAATCTTAGCCCCTTCAACAACCCGCTATAACTCAACCACCAAGCTAAAACCCCTAATGCATCCCATAGGTGTGCTGTTAACACCCATTGCTACAGAGAAAAAACCTTGGAATTAAATGTTAATGATCCGTGTTTTGCACTCTAGGTACAACAATACATCACGACAGCTCAACATAAAACACCTACACCACTAGAGGTTGTACCCTGTCAATACTCAATGAAGAAAAGGATAACTCTGTTTCACAATCCAACTTTTTCACACACTGTAGTTAAACTATGCTTCACCTACTTTGAACCAAGTATATATGCTTTTCCGATCGTAGATCTATGGAGCTCCATAAACACACTGATTATGAACTGCTACCATAGTAAAAAAGTGGTTAAAGGCTTCAAAATTTCTCAATGAGGTAAGTTCTCGCGTAAGGAAATTGTGCTCGTCCAGAGCTCTATTTCAAATAATCTCAGAGATTCCAAAGGAAACGTAGTCCAAAAATGGGCGATCTAAAGATCGAATCACATGATTAGAAAGTGTTGGATAGCAGAAGCGCGCAAATAAGAAATATTATCCAACAAAAGCCAACAAAGCAATCACATAAACACAAGATATACATGGTTCAGCCAAAACCGGCCTACATCCATAGATGAGAAAAGACTCCACTAAGATTCGTAGAGATATTACAACAATAGAGTACCAACACCACCACTACACGAGCCTATTTCCTCACTACATGCATCACCAGTGTTTTTCTTACTCTTCCAACTTGCATAATACCTCTACCCATCAACTCACTCATGAGACTACATCTCTCTCAATCTCATAAGTCTCAACCCAACGTCTATGTATCTATTTATAGAGTTCCAAACCCAATTCCTTATTGGATAAGGATTACCAAACATAATACAACTCTAAAATAGAAACATAATTAGAGTAGGAATTTGAGACACAAATCCTAACAATCTCCACTTTGGCTCAAATTTCATCGAACCAATCATCGCTTCCCATGGCACTGATCATGACAATTCTTTTGCAGCTTCAATCTTGACGATACTCCTACAAAACTCCAATTGTCCACATTATACGTTGCTCGATCAGTCAAACCTCCAAGGCTCCACCTTTACTACTCGAGCTCTATGCCATGTAACCAAGCCGATTGACTCCACCTACAACCGAAGCCCATTGCAGCACATGTTGAGACTTCTTGTGTTTTCTGGATCTCCTTCACCTTTGGCTCTGATACCAATTTGTTAGGCAACGGAAGCACACGAACAATGAAAGATCCAACAAAAGCCAACAAAGCAATCACATATAAAGTTATAAACACAAGATATACACGGTTCAGCCAAAACCGGCCTACATCCATAGATGAGAAGAGATTCCACTATGATTCTTAGAGATATTACAATAATAGAGTACCAACACCACCACTCTACGAGCCTATTTCCTCGCTACCAGCGTCACCGGTGTTTTTCCTACTCTACCAACCCGCATACTACCTCTACCCATCAACTCCCTCATGAGACTACATCTCTCTCAATCTCATAAGTCTTAACCCGAAGCCTATGTATCTATTTATAGAGTTCCAAACCCAATTCCTTGTTGGACAAGGATTACAGAACAGAATACAACTCTAAAATAGAAACATAATGAGAGTAGGAATTTGAGACACAAATCCCAACAGAAAGGGTAGCATAAGAATAGGAATTAAAGTCGGCTTTTAGGGATCATCCTAAAATTTAAAACAATCCAAATACAGCCATTACTTCATTAATTATTTTCACCTTTTTGGATAAGTTCATTATTATTTTTATCTTACTTTTAATAAAAACTACTAAAGACAACAATGCAATTAATTAACTATTATATTTTCTGATTTTATTTTTGCCCAAAACAATAATAAGATAATGTCATTACATATTTCCCTAACTATACATGGGTGTGTGTGTGTGTGTGTATTGCTATATATCAGACCAAGTGATAATACTAACTTCGTGTTATTATGTTTATATTTTTTGTTTTGCTCAAATGTCATTGATAATGATGATAATATCATTCACTATATATATATATATATTATGATCTCATTCTCTCCCTTAATATTAGTTGTTTAGAATGATGATGCCGTTATATCCTCAGCCCCCTCATTATTGACAAATATCTAATAAAATACTTGGCACCACTTAAAATTTATTTTATCTTATACAATCATTTCATTCAAATTTCATGTTCAACATATTCCGTAATATTTATTATATCCTATACAAAAACAATATTCTATTCCCATTTCTAATCCCATAGTCAAGTTATCCTGTATATAATTTCTTGTTCTAATTGTGCCTTTTAAATTGTATCATTTTTCTCTTTTTGTGTGTACATATTATTTCTAGTTTTGCTCCTAATATCATTTACTTATATATCAAATAAAATATTATGCTAAAAGTCTAAAAATTTTCTTACTTAGAATTACTAATAATTATCCTATAATCTCTGTGTTAACATATTTCAAATTTTCAACCAATATTATAGTACTTCACATCACCTGATACATTGAAAAAAAAAAAAAACCATTGAGCTGTTGCCTTCTTAACCTTGTGTACATATATGATACTATGATAGTAAGCAAAATGTTTGGTTTATTATCACTGAAAGAGGAGAGACCAAAATTACATCATCAAACAAATAAATACTGTAAATAAAAAATCACAGATACTAGGCAATTCCAACATAATATGTATGTGTGTGTCTGTGTGAATATATAAGTATAGAGAGAGAAAGAGACATACGATTGGGAAATCGAGAGGGTTCCGGCGAGTTAATTTTTCCTCGTCGGGGGCCATACGAACCACGTGCCTCCCTGTCCTCCGATTACTTTTATAACTCGTAATCATCAGCGTTCGTCGAGGTACGAACAACGGCGTGAGCACAGAAGAGCATGGGCAACTTGTTGAGGACGACGAAGATGGAGATGTGTATGAAGATGTAGAGGGCAATGATACCGATTTTGAAATTGACGATGGTAGAGGAAGCATTGACAGTAATATAGACGCCATAATTTATATATGTGTGTTGCCTCTCTACTTCAGTGTTTCAATTCCTCCTCCTTCTTCTTCTTCTTCTTCTTCTTCACCAGCTCCTCCACTTCTGCCCCAAATCCACTACCTACGCCAAAACCACCTTTCAACTCGCAGTACCTTCAGCGGCTTATATAGTGCGTCGCAGCTCTACCAATTTTCATGCACTCCCGGGATAACGGACTTTTTAGCCGATTACCAAAATGAATGACATGTATTTCCCAAAAAAAAAAACCAATAATAATAAATAAATAAATGAAAGGACTTGTCTAATAATGTTGGGTCCATAAAAAATACTCTCTACTAGTATTACCTAAAGTTGTCTAATTTGTTTTGAATTGGCTATTATGATTTTACCATTTATTTCATAATTCAAACTATAATCCCAACTTCTTTTACATGTATTTCATAATTTGAAATATATTTTATTTTGATTTTAGGTCAACTGAAAGTGGTTTATATGTGTTTATATATATATATATTATTGTGAAAAAAACTCATAAACTATTGTCCTTTTGCAAATAACCCCTTAAATTACAAAATGCCCTTTGAACTAATGATTTGTTGTAGTTAAGGATAAACCCGTACCAAAAGGTTATTTTACCATTTCTAATTAAATTTGTCATTTCTTATTAAATTTTTTTTGTTATCTTTTTCCTTATCTAAATATTAATTAGACCATTTACCTTAGTTTATTATTATTATTATCAATTTATGATAAGAATTAAAAATGTATATATAAATAGAGTTGTAATTGCTAACTACCATTTTCTATAATAATTAACATATTATTAAAACTTTATTATTTAAAATAAATCTTATTATACTTGGTTTAAAAAATTTTATCTTAAAAACGTACCTTCTTTTTTATATAATATATTCATTAAAAATAATAAATTACTTAAATAAAAAATACCCTCTTTTTCATTCAATATATTCGTAAACAATTAAGAAGGTAATTGAATTGTTTTACAATTTTCTACAAAATTTTTATTTAAACAATTAATTTCAAAAATTAAAGGTAAATTTATGCAAAATTAATAGAGAATATGTCATCAAAATTAGTGTGAATTTTTTTTCATAATTTATTTTAATAATAAAAATAAATTATGTTTAATTCAATAAGAAATGGCATTATGATCATTTAATAAAAAATTAGTCCAAGCACGAAAACATTTTGCAACAAAATGTAATACTTTAAGGAATATTATAAACAAAATATACTATAAGGGGGTTATTTGCAAATTCGGACATAATTCAAGAGATTTTTTTTTTTTTTTCACTTTACCCTATATATTATAAACTCATTTAAATTTTGTTATCTTAAAAAATATATTTTCATCCAGTAAATTGCACAAGGACATCACTACTAATGCCACTATTTGCAAAGCACATGCACAACTAATGCCAGTATTTCGTTGACAAAAGAAGTTTATCAGGAGAGCTACGTGTCTCTTGCCTCATAAATCGTGGGTCAATATACACATTCAATGTGAGGTACGTAGTAGTTTTTTCCTTTTCTATAGATATTGAAGATGAAGCTGAGTTAAAGTCTAATTCAAATTTTATTATACATTGAGCTCCAACATAAGATCAAGTTTAAAGATACTTAAAATCTCAATCCAGGTAGACCTCAGGTTAAGAACAAAATTACAGTTAATCTCAAGTATTGTAATAACAGGTAGACCTCAAGTTCACTGAATCGCCAATCATATTACAAAATGAAAGAGCAACTCCAGCATGAAGTATCAACTATTTCATTCAAAAATGTTCTCAAGTTTAAATCCTAAATTATTGAAAGCCAAAATCCATTTCTTTGGAACCCTACTAGTTAGACCAACAAGAGAATTTAACAGCTGAATTGCAAACTGTTCCAAGTTTCAAGCTTTAACTTTCCATTTACCTGGCAAGCGTTTTCGTGCAAGCAACAATTTAGGCTTCAAAGATCCATTATTTTCCTCCTCACTATCTTCACTGTCTAAAACAATCACTGTGTCAGATATTGGTGATCCGTCTCCCCCTTGTTTGGTTGCTCCAGCCTCTCTCTCACCATGACCTTGCTTACTCTGCTGCTTCTCATCACGTCTGCAGTCATATAGCATAGGCAAAGACTTGGATGGAGTTCTAGTTTGGTTCTCAGTGTGCATGTTCATTGTGTTGTCACCACTACAGGACCCTTGCAATTGGCACAGAGGTTCCAATGGCAGCTTGCCGCCAATCCCATGCATCCTATATGCCATATTTTTGCTGCAGCTCCCTGCTTCTCCTTTGTGACACACACTCATTTGTGACATCGTCAGTGATGACATGGCTGATGAGGTAGAAAGGCTGTTGGGTTGTGAAATGGGTAATCTTTGAATTGGAGCCACATTCTCTTTGTTATCCTTTTCCTGACACTGCAATGATCCCAAAGAAAGCTTCTTACCAGCCAAACCAAGCTTCTTACGTTTTATGTTTGGGGAACCATTTTCAGTTCTATATAAAGGAACCTGGTAAAGCTGTAGTTCGTTGTCAATATCCCGTGGCATTGGCAAGGATCCATGAGACACACTAGAATTGGACTGGGAGGGTGACAGTTGAGGCATTGCCTGCAGGTTATCATCACTATCAGCACTTATTTGGGGAGGATGTAAAGATTCTATACACGGCTTTTGGCCAACACGACAGAGCTTCTTCACACTTGTGTTTGTACTCTCATTTATTGATTCACTATCTCTATCTTGATGAGATTGTTGCTCATACTGGTTGCTAACCTGCAGCAATGGCAACGAGCCTGAAGAAACCACAGAAACACTTTCAGGGTTCAAAAAGAATGAATGCTGATCTAAAACCACATTTTCCTTGTTAACATCACCTCTCATCAGGGATGCACCCAAAGGTTCCAAAGATAATTTCCGCCTGGTCCCACTTAGCTTCTCACAATTCCGATTATACTCATGGATCTTTTTTTCTGACACTTCTTTCTGTCCTTTAACTTTGATCTGGTCTATAAGGTGATGAATAGGAATCCCATTCTCTCCTTTATCACTACCGTTTTTTGTATTCAACATAGAAGACTCCAGCGACAGCTTTCGGCTGATCCCACATAGCTTTTTACGACTTACAACGCATTCATTAACTTCACACTGCAAGTCATCTGGCCCCTTAGCCTCCATCTGTTGTAAGAAAACATGAATTTACAAAAGCAAACTCATAAAATTAGAACAAAACAAACAATATGCTAAACTGCTAAATATTACCATGCTTGGAGAGTGGGAATGAATGCTTGGGCTGCCACTATCATTTCCATTTTCTTCAGCCCTTGCATATTTCTGGGTCATAGATCGTGCCTTCTGGTCAAAAGCTTGTCGATTATATTTGTACTCCTTGCTCTGCACATTAATTCAAACAGACCACAAATTAATCAGACATCTTCAGTACCACCAGTACGGCACAAACTATTTGAAAGCTAATCCACTTACTGCTTCACACATTAGGCCATCATCAGGGTTTGGTTCACTCAGTAACAAACCAATGCTAGTTAGCACAGTTGAAATGTTCAAAGATGGCTGCCATGCACCCTGCTCCGATGGGATGTAAACCTTGTCAATATTATATAGATGAATTGCACACAAGTTGCTTTTAAAAAAACAAAAATCCATTCTAAATACTTTAAAGAAAAAAAAAAAAAACTTTCTAAATACCAAGCCCATCCAAAACAACAAGATGAAAATCACAATCCCGGAAGAGCACTGGTCATACAAAATTCGTCACCCAGTACAACTATTTCACATGTTATCTTAAAGAGATATAAGACTAAAATCAGAAATTTGATCAGTGTGATTGTTTGCTATTTTTGCTTATTTATTAATATACGTATTTATTTATTTTTATAGTTTGAACAGGTTGGAACCTTCAGTATGCACTAGATTGTCATATCAGCAAATTTAGATACCAACTAGATGATGGGATTTATATGCCCTGGCATAGTAAATTTCCATTTGGATTAAAGTGACATATGTTCCTGACCTTTCTGAAATATTTATGTTTTATACAATTGGTGAATTCAATGTATTATGTTTCGATTCATTATAGAATTGATAGTATCCTCTTGATTACAAGAGATATTTATATATATATGTGATGACGATCAATACATGAATATAAATAGTAATCATAAATTGTTCATAGTCGGTAATTATGGATGGAATCATAATTAATTAAGACTTGAACTGGATCCGCGTTAGGTTGAGATATATTACGAGAGACGTCGTATGCAATTACTCCATATCACCGTCATGGCATTTGACTCTTAAGCATGAGAAAAGTATAGACTCTTTTATTAATTAATAATTACTTTAATTTGTTCGGCAAATTCTTCGGAATCCTTAGACCGACACTTTAGGTAGTTATGTAATTAATAGTTAGAGGGTTATATTTTCAATATTTGCATCAATGCTACTTGTTTTTATTTTGTATTGATTATGGTTGATCACAAAGTAAATTCGAAGGCCTTCGTGTGTTTTAAACAAAATGATTTATTATATATTTATTTACTTAAATTATTATTTTTGTCAAACAAATGTTTTATTGTGATCGAATCAGAAATAATCAAAAGTACCAAAATAAATATATTAATTAAGTAGCCGGATTGATGGCTTTATTTATCCGATAACTAATTATGCATAGAGGGGTCAAAGTGCAATATTGACTTAGAGGTTATTTATTATTTAATTAGAGTTCAATTAATTTCTTTTAGTGGAGTAGAAATTAATTTATGAATTAATTGAATTGGGTCCATGGACCGGGCCAATTATTAATTCATTGTAGCCAATAAAATAATAGGTCCAATGGATTCTCACTCATAGCCCAACTTGATATTGGAATCATATTAGATTTGAGACATGTGAATTAGAGATTGAGAAGGATTTGTTATTTCCTTTTCTTTATCTTTATGTTGCCTATAATTATACATGGTTTATGCATATTTTAGGTGTGATTTTTAGAAAAAGAAAAAGAATATATTTTCTCTCTCTAGAAAAGTAGGGTTTATGTTCTCATCTAATGGAGGCTCCCACAAGCTTAGTTTTCCAAGGTCATTCATGGAGGCATATGAGTGATTCCTAAAGGCAAAAACAATTACCAAGAAGATGGAGATCCAAGAAGAAGGCATCTTGCTAAGGAATCTACAATAAGTGAGAACATTCACTTCAGAAGAAAGTTTTAAAGGTTTACTGAGACCTTTGATGTAAGTATTGAATTTGTTAATTGAATGATACATCATATTTTATTTTTGCATAAAACTTGTCTCTATGTGATGAATCAAGATCTATGAATCAAAATCCCTCGAAAAGTTTTTAAAATTAGCACGTTTCCCAACAGTGGTATCAGAGCATGGTTTGATTCATCACTAGAGATCATGATTTTATGAAAATCATCATTCATGGATCCAAATTTATATATGCATATGTATATATTTTTATATTATCATGATATATGTATATTTGTGATTGAATGAATGTTGATTTATGATTCGGCCATGGATGAAGCTTATAGATTATCGGAATGTAATTTAATCTTTGGATGAATGTAATTAAGACGTTGATTTAGCCGTTTGAAAATTCAATGATGTAATTTAATTTTTTTCATTGTATTTCAAGTTATAAGTATTTTTAAAGCCATGTAATATTCATCAAAGGATACTATGAAGCTTCAAGAAGGTCTAAAAGGGTTAAATTAGGCTTCAGGAGTTTTCTAGAATTTTTTCGGCGATTTTTCGGCAACCGGAGTTTCGCCGGCAGCGAGGTCATTGCCGGAAGAGGACACGAGATTCAGTGCATCGTGGTACATAATATTACTATGCAACCGCATTAATAACCGCTGGATCAAATCATGTGAAGAGAAATGATCCGGTGTGCCAGCCTCCATATAGCGCGTGAGGAGCACGCGCTATAAAGCCAACTGCAGTCAGCGCCCTTGGCGCGTGAAGAACACACGCTGACAAGGTCAGCGCCTCAAGGCGCGTGAATACCACGCGCCGATTTCATGCAGCGCCATCTGGCACGTGCAACACGCTACGCACACCCACACGCGTATGGGGGCGCGTGAAAGGCACCCCAACCTCCTCCCAGCACGTGCAGGCACGTGGGAGCGCGTGACACGCGCTGGAAATCTCCAGGAGCGCGTGTAGGTTGTTCAGATGGGTTTTTGAGGTGTCCAATTGTGTCTGGTGGTGCGTGTGATAGAGTTACAGCTTCCTGCAGGTGTATACAAGCTGATGAAGGACCCTCGCTCAATAATTAGAGCACATAAATGTTAAAAGTTGATTCCAGTGGCCGTTTTTATTTGTTTTATCTGTCATTTATTTATTTATGTGATGCATGGAATAAATAATTGTTGATTAATTATTATTCATGCATTGGATCCATGATATTTAATTAAATGACTTGGTTTATATTAATTAAATTATGAAAATTAATTGGATTTGATTACTAATTAATTTGAGGACACTTATTGGGAAATAAAAAATTATTTTTTTAAATTATTTTTAAAGTGTGCTTCAAATTAAATATTAGTGAATCATTTAAATGTCCAAATATTTTCTAAATTTAATTGGATTAAAATCAAGACGTTTTGCATGCATTATATCATGTAAATGAATAAATTCAAAACCCTAATTATTAATGATTAAAAATTGAGTAGAAGCAGGGATTTTTATACATTGCCCCATGGCCTTCGTTATTAAAACCATTGTAATTAGATTTTCAAAAATAAGGCCTCACGCATGATTTGAAGAGTCTTAATACTATAAGAATGGTTATCTCATGAAAATAAAAATAATAAATGTTCATTGTAATTAGATCTTTAAAAATAAGGCCCTACGCATGATTTAAAGAGTCTAGATTATAATGACAAGATATTTAATGTTTTATTTTTCATTAGAGCATTAATAACGTTATACACTCAATCTAAAATCAATAGTGTTAGCTCCCCAACGGAGTGGTCTACACTAGGTGATTTTAGAAAAACTAAACATAATCGAGAATCATTTCATATAGATAGACAAGGCATTATCTTAAGAGATATGGAGATGATGGGATTTGCCCGCCAATAGCAATAATGAACTTCGCCAACCGAATAAGTTATTGGCGTATTGGTTATTTGATTTTTCATGCAATGGTTAAGGGACCCACATACTATTTTAATGGAAGTGCTCGCCTAATAGCAAATGAATCTCAACATTCGTAATAATGAACTCTTCCAACAGGATAAATTATTGACATATTGATTGGTTGATTTATTATGCTACAGAGTTGAGGGACCCGCATTAATTAAAAGGGATTGTTCACCAATAATGATAATGATCTCTTATTCAATTGAGATTTATTATATTATGTGGTTAACAAACTCATTTTAATTTTAAATATGCATGATAGTATTAATAATTCACCTTACATATTGTATGAATGCATTTATATTCAAATTAATTATGTCTAATCCATTTTATCTGCTTGCTAAAATATTCAATGTATGTGGACCTCATTTATAATGATTGGAAAAGAAACTTAAATATTTTATTCACAACGTAAGAGTACAAAATGTATTTAATACTCCTATACCTAATTTCTTTACTTTAAGATACTTAATGAGATGTTTTAGTGATATTAGATAGAGAGTATGCCAAAGTACTATGTCAGACTTGAATACCATCAAGATAGCCTAGGGAACTCCAGTATGAGATCGAATTTTGGAAAATGATTGTTTATTATTTAAAAATTGAACTGGAGGTCAAAAAGGCTGACTTAAATAGTAAGTTTAAGTTGACATGATTATTGCCTTGTTACCAAATTGGTTTGGCTCTTTCAGAGTAAACTAAATAACGAATCAGTTTGAGTTCACACTTGCTGATATTCTTATAGACTTGGTAACAGATGAAAGGATAATCAAAAGTATGGACGTTCCTACCAATCGAACCTAGTCTATACCATCTTCTTCTAGGCCCAAGTGGACGGGCAATAGAAAAAAGAATGATGATAATAGGACTAGGCAAGCACAAAACATGGATATCCAAAAGGTTAAAGGGAATAAAGCAGTGTATGTTGAGGGCGAAGGAAACTGTTTCTTTTGCCCTTAACTAAGACACTAAAGGACGAACTGTCTAAGCAATGACGTGGCATAGGAAAATGTATATTTAATCATTGAGCTATGTTATGTGGTTGTATCTATTGATCCCTGATGAATAGATTCTGGAACCACTAAACATGTTTGCAATTCATTGCAAGGATTTCAGGAATCCAGAAGCCTCGACGATATGGATATATATTTTTCTTTTAACCTGATGCCAATGTTGTAGCAAAGTCAATGGGAGTATTACATCTGAAATTAGAGAGTATGAGGATATTAGTATTAGAGAACTATCTTTATGCACAGAAGTTAAACGCAATCTAATTCGTGTTTCACTTGTGATTTATAAAACTGGTTTTATAAAATTGAATAGATATGCAATTACTTCTGCTGCATTGAAAGCTGGTTAATATACTATAATCACAAACTCTTCAGATTTGCAGGATGTAGAAACTAA